ATGACAACAGCTGTTGTCAACCTCGCGTTATCTGCCCGGAATCTGCGTAGCGTTGGCTTCTCTGCAGTGCAAATGAACCACCTATTACCAAGTGATGGCGCTCGGCGAATAGGGGCGCTGAAGTCCTGTAGGCGGAGCGAGTGGCGCCCGGAAAACAGTGGCGCAACTCTGCAACCTCAAGGTAGCATATACAGTAACTCTACGCAAGATCAGGCTGCAGCGCCCCTAGGTCACGCAACCGCCGTTCAGCCCATCCTCCTCCTCTGGCGGAGTTACGAGCTTTGGAACTGAGTTTATTCTAGTAACGTTGCTTAAGATTACCACTTGTGATCCGAGAAGTCTACAGTCTTTTTGCACGCTCATCTGAAGTTTTCGGTCTGCAGAGTACCTGAACTCGGGATCACATAGCTCAGCTCCAGACCATAAGGCATCTCGTAGCTTCGCTAAGAATGGGTCCTTGGAAACAGCTTCCGTGACTACAGTCGACCGCATAACCCTAGGATATGCAGCCTCCAGCATGAAAACTTCTGCTGGTCTTTCGAAAGGTTGAGCGTACACTGGTAGTGGTAGGTGACTCTGTAATGACTTGACATCTTCTGGTCTCGACACCTTCAGCATGGCCTCTACCTTTTCAGAGTTGGGTGGAAACCCCTCAGCCGTGACAGCGTGACCAAGGTATTCAATTTATCGTTCCACGAAGGTACAATTATCCAGCTTTAATTTTAGCCCAGCTTGCTTCAGTCGGCCTAGGGCTGAGTCCAGGTATGTTAGATGGTCATGGTCGTCATGTACAGTTACGAGAACACCGTCGAAGTACACTACAACATGTCTGAGTCCTTGTGGCAGCTTTTACATCTCCCGCTGGAAAATTGAAGGAGCGAATGTGACGCCGACAGCAAACACGTGTATTGCTACAGTCCTTCTGGTGTGTTTATTGTCACCAGCTTGCGGGATTCCTCGTCCTATTCCACTTGGAAATACGTATGCTTCAAGTACAATTTGCTGAACTTCTCGCCACCATGAAGAGACTAAAATCTTCAACGCATGGTATCCGGTATTTTCCGAGCACTGTCATGGGATTAACAGCAACTTTGAAATCGCTCGCCACACATTCGAATCTGCCCACTCCACTTCAAGATTGGCACGTTGGGTGCAGCCCATTCTGGAGTCTCCATGCGCATCAGTTTGTTGACGCGATCGATCATTGTGAACGGAACAGAATGATCCTTGAAGAACCTCGACTTCGCGTTGTCCTCGATTGTTATTTTCGCGGACACTCCTTTGAATGTTCCGAAGGCGTCATCGAAAACACTCGCACATGCAGCGACGAGTCCCTCAACCAAAGTGACAGCCTTACTGTTCATCACATTACGCAATAGGCCTTTCATTCAGCCACGGCCCATTAGGGACGGGCAGCGTCTTGGGACAATGTAAAACTCGTCCCGACACTCATGGTTTCCCAGTCGTATAGTCGCAGGCAGGCTACCGTGCACTGGGGACAGCTCACCGGTGTAACGTTTCAGCATGACGCTTCACGGTTCCAGACGACATGACGAAAATTAGCGGCGAAAGGCCCTTTCCAACCCGGCAGACACGCTTGCTCTCGTGTCAAGTTTCATAATGAAGTTCCGCTCGCGGACACCTCCACCCGGTGTGAGCTACCGTCGTGATCGTGTGCGTGTACTGGTCACATTTCGTAGACTTTAAGTGCCGGTGCCTCAGAGCCACTTCTTACGCGTCTACAGTAAGAATTCAGTGATGTTCCCGTGATGAAAACGCTGAACCACTTGCGCTCGTAACTGTAACTGCCTTGTCCTTGCATACTCGCGCAAGGTGCCCCTTACTTCTGCACTTGTGACAGATGCTACTTGCATATCGACGCTGCATCGCCAGATGCTTGCCTCCGCAGCTGTAATATGAAACTGGTTTATGCTTTTTGCTTTCCTGTATCACGTGACACGGCATTCGTCGGTGCAACAGTCATTGGCATAGCTGTTGACAGCGCACGAGAATCTTAGTTCACCGCTTCCATCACGATGGCTGTCTTCTTTGCGGTATCAAGGGTAAAATCTGGTGACTCCAGCAGTCGTCGCGGCATTGTCTCATCATTTATCCCTGCCGCAATGCGGTCATAAAGCATTCTCTCTCGAAATGAGCCGAAAGAACAATCGTCAGCAAGTTCGTTCAGGTTAGCGAAAAAATCACCCAGCCGTTTTACCGGAGTGACATAATAGGGAGTTTTAGAATGGCGCACTGCGAGCCCTTGTGGTGGGGTCGCTGCCACTGCGCATGCGTCGTAACACGAGTCGGCGTTCGCGTTCGCGGACCACACGCAGAAAATCCGAAATTGCGTTCGACGATCGCGGCCCACATGCGGCCCGCAAGACAACAGGGTCGCTGCGATCGTGCGTTGCGGTTTGCAGCAGGGCAAATGCTATTCTGAAACTCATATGGCGCCCTCAACACCAGGAACGCCCACAGTGCTTGCAAACGGTATTCTAAAACTCCCTATTCTTGAATTGAACGTTGCAGTCACTTGGGGTGGTCTCGGCGAAAAATGCTTCTTCAATACTTCAAGGATCGTTGACAGCCTTGTTTTTGACAGCTTCGATGGTGCCAGCCGATTCCGCTGTAATGAATACGTGGTAGGTCCAAAACAGGTAAGAAGAAGTGCTCGCTTTTTTCTTATCTTCGACGTCGTTGGCTATAAAAAAAAATTTTCTACCCGCTCTTGATACTCATCCCGGCCGGTTGTTGCCACGTGGAACTGCTCAAGCTTGCTCACTGCAGGCATTCTCCCTGATATACGGTAGAGAACACACTGCAGCTCCAAAGGGGAAGTTCTAGGCAGCTCCAGCAGATCACACTTTCATCTTCATCACCACTGTCATAGCTTATCATAGCCAACTCACAGAGAGTAGCTGAAGCGTCACACTAGGCCTAATACTACGGAAAAATACTGCCCTTTATGTACTCACTCATCTTTTGTACTGACCTGGTTGTGACGTAAAACAATGCACATCACATATCACACATCGCATATCAGCGCGTTTTGCGGTGGCTATTTCATTACAATGATTACTCAACTGGACATGCAAACAGAAGAGTAGGTCTGAAAATTATTGTGCGAAAAACTAAAGTAATTGGGAACAGTCTCGGCAGAACGCATCACTTTGCGATAGGTGGACAGAAGCTGGAAGTTTAAAGGAATATGCCTACTCAGGACAGGTAGTAATCTCGGACACGAACCATGAGAGTGAAATAACTAGAAGAATAATGATGGAGGAAGAACATTCGGCAAGCAGTCCAAACATTCCCAAATAAATAATGGTAATCTGCCACTGACCTTCAAGAGGATGGTATATAACAGCTGCATCTTGCCGGTACTTACGTATGAAGCAGAAACCTGGAGGCTCAAAAAGAGGTTAATCTTAAATTGTGAACACCGCAGTGAGCGATGGCAAAAAATGATAGGTGTAACCTTAATAGACAATCAGAGAGCAGACTGCGTCAGGGAAGGAACCTGGGTTAAGGATGTCGTAGTTGAAATCAAGACGAAGGGACGGACATAGGCCGGGCACGTAGCATTTAGGCTGGATAACCGCTGGTCATTAAAGGGGTCGTGAAACATTTTCAGGAAATTTTCAACTATATGTGTATTCAAAATCTTGCCCGTCCACTTAGTACCATACGTCAACTCGCTTCTTCATCGTCTCGGCTCACCTAATAACTAAAAAAAGTATAACTTAGCTTTCCAAGCTGACGTCCCCGTACTGTGCAACTGACGTTATCTAAAGACATCCAATGAAAAGTCTCTGTCATCGACAAAACATGGGGACGCAGCAATGTTTATGAGCCTTAGTTGACCGTGGTTTGTAACATCATACTGTTTCTATTATGGCGCCGCCGTTACCATAACAATACCATAACGTCACGGACACACAGCGTAGGATGGCCGACCTTCCCCAACTACAGCGTCGACTGCTAGAGCAGAGCCGTACGCCGGCGCACCCATGCTATTGCGAGATTGCCATTGTCAGGGCACCGCAGCAATGGCGGTGACCATAGAGTTTCTCCCAAATACCTACAGGGAAGTGTGGCGCCACCGTCTATGGAACTTTTAAAGACGATAGTCTTTTTGGGGACCTTCGACGCAAAAATTCTGGTTTGTCTGTCTGTACTTTTGTCTGTTTGTCCACTCTTAACGGCACCGAGTACTTGAAACGGCCAACCCCATTCACAGCGCCCACTAATGTTGCTCAAGATTTAGCGTTCATACTTGTGCAATTTTCAAATATTAACCAATTATTGCGCAATTCTGGGGCACCATAACAACACGTATATATTCTGCATGTGTACCTTTTACTAGAAAATGCATACATAAGTAATTTTGTAACTAGAAATGCATACATAAGTAATAAGTAGCGGGATTAGGGTTGAGCTTAAGCCTGTCGGGCTCTCGGTCCGATAGTTGGGCGGGGGCGGTGGCTAAGGAGGCTAAGAAAACCACGGGCGAAAAAGAACTGGTGCAGTGCGAAGAATGCAAGCGCTGGTGCTACTCGGACGAGCCAGAATTCTCGAGTTTGACCGGCGCGCAGAAGGCGAGCTTCGTGTGCAGGCTGTGCGAGGCACTGAAGTCGGCCGTGCAGCGCATGAAGGCTAGCATCGAGGGGCTTTAGGGGGAGCTTAGGGCGGAACGGGAGCAGAGGATAGAACTCCAAAAACAGCTTGTAGCGTCGCGTGAGCGGGAGGAGGCTACCGCCAGCCTATTAGAGCAAATGAAGGGTGACCTTCGAAAAAAACGGGAAGGGCGGACGGAGCTCGAGCAGCGGGTAAAGGAGTTAATGGCACTTTGCCCCGGCCCCAAGCGGAGTGAGACGGAAGGCGTGGGTAGCGGAGAAGGCGACAGGCGGTAAGGAACAGGCGAGAAGGGAGGTCAGGGGGCCGCATTGTCTGGCCACAGCACGAAGGCTCCGAGAACATACAGCTCGGTGACGCAGCAGTCTTCGAGGAGGGCAAAAACACAGGACAGACGGCCGAGAGAGAAACATGTGAAGCAAACAGGGGCGCCATCACAAACAGGAAGCCAGCGATTCGAGCATAGAAGGATCCTAGTGGTGGGGGACTCTAACGTGGCCAGGGATAGGGATGGCGTCTTGACGACAGTGAAGGAAGATGGGAGGGTGACGGTGGAGGCCCAGTCAGGGAAGAGTATGGTGGATGCACTGGCTAACGCTCAGGAGGTTGTAGAGGACAGCATGGAGGGCGAAAATCTCGTCATTATTCATGCTGGTCTCAATGATGTGTTGAAGGGCAGGGATCAAAACCTTCACAGACAGTTAGAGGATGGGATGTGTAAGCTCCGAGAAGCCTCTGGGAGTGTGCATGTGACCATATGCACAGTCCCAGAGGTCTGGGGGCAGTCTTGTGGTATTGAAAGGAGGGTAGTGGAAACCAACTGTGTGATCAAGGGTATCAGCTGGAAACTCGAATGCAGCGTAATGGAAGGGAACCAAGACGTGTACGAGCCCGGCGCTCGCTTTTTTGCCCGGGATGGAATTCACTACACTGGTGCGACGGGAAGGAGGGTCGCTAATAGAAAGCGTCGTCAAGCCACAGCTTTTTAACGGAGCCCTGAGGCCAACAGTGTAGCCAAAGACGGACCTAAAGGGACACAAATATTCAAGTCACACGAAGTCCATGGGAGAAGAGATCAACGTAAGCACAAGGGCCGACCTGAGTCAGACGTAGGCTACATTAACATGCAGGGTGGCAGGAATAGGTTAAAGTAGGAAGAGATAGAAGAGCAGTAGAGGCAGGAGGAGCTGATGGTATATGGGGTTGTGGAGACACATCTTTGGGACATGGAGCAACCACGTTGCAATCCGGACTACGTATGGTAATATTTCAATCGAACAGAAGGCAGCAAAAAGAGGGGTGGAATTGGTACATTCATACATAAAAGTATGGGTTGGCAAAGAGTCAAGCAGGGATGCATGGAACATTTATGGTTAAGAGGGAAAGTAGCTGGGCAGATGACGCTCCTTGGTTTGGTGTACTTGTGGGTGGGAGCAAGGGCCAGAGAAGAAAAGCGGGCAATGGTGGATTGTATATCAAATGACATTGAGGAATTAGGAGGACAGTGCGTGATAATTATACTAGGAGATATGAATGTGCACATAGAAGATATAGATGGGTATACTGACCCAACAGGCAAATTGATTATGGCTATGTGTGAAAAACAGGATTTGATCATTTGCAACAGTACTGAGAAGTGTGAAGGGCAAATAATATGGGAGGTAGGAAGGCGGCAGTCGACGATAGATTAAGCACTGATGTCACATAGGATGTATGATAGGCTCAGGGGAATGCGCATAGATGAATGTGGCTCCAAAAGTCTGGGTAGGGATTGCAAACTTATCAAGCTAAGTTTTGGAAGAGCAGTAAAAGTGGGAAGAAGGCAAGATGAGCAACTACAGCGAACGTTTTATTCAGAAAAGCAAATATAAATAGCTACTAAACAAAATGAGCAAGTGATCGCTGAGGATAATAATACAGTGTGGACGTACATGAATCTAATTTGACTTTTTGAGCTTCAGCTTGCTAAGGCACGTGACAAGTCACCCCGCAAAAGAATACAGAAACCCAAGAATTGGTGGGATGAGGAAGTTAAGAGAGTCATAGCAAAACGTCAGGAAGCCTCTAGGGAACACAGACATGCTAAGCAGCGGGGTGAACCGACAGATGATGCTGAAAGAAAATGGGTCATCTTTCTAAGCTGTAGAAGGAAAGCATCCCTTCTGATCAATGAAAAGATTGGAAGAAAGGGGGCTCAGTGGCTGGCAGAAGTACACAAAAAGGATAGAAAGTCAGCTGCAAAATTTTGGAACCATCTAAACTCCCTAACAAATGAGACAAGACTAGAACAGAGGTTTATACCTACAGCTGAAGGTGTTAGGCTAAAAGGGGACGAAGCGCTATTGAATATATAGGAACAATGGTGACAGAAAAATTTCAACAAAGTGCCTTATGCACCACAATAGACAAGGATGGATCATGTGGCGCAGTTGCTCCATTTTCACGACGAGAGTGGGAAAGGGCTGAGAAGAGGTTTGGTTCCTAGTAGTACATCAACAGGCTCAGATAGCATTCTAATAATTCTGATAAAGACATTGGGTCCGAAGTCGAAACAGACTTTAAGAGAAGCAGTGAGCAAAACAATAATCGATGGTGAAGTCCCCGATGGATGGAAACTTAGCAGGATGAGCATGATCTATAAAAGAAAGGGGGGACAAAGCTGACATAAACAACTTCCATCCTATAACAGTGACATCAGTGGTCTTCAGGCTGGAAATGCAGATTATAAAGGAAAGACTCCAGGCATGGATAGAAGATCAGGGGGTTCTGGGGGAACTGCAGAATGGATTTGGAAAACACAGGAGGCTGGAAGACAATCTGTTCTCACTGATACAGTGCATCGAAATAGCAGAAAAGGAACACAGGCCCCTGTGGCTAGCATTTTTGGATATCAAGGGAGTGTTCGATAACGTGGTTCAAGAGGACTTGTGGGAAATACTGGACACACTAGGCGTGGAACATGTAGTCACTAATCTTTTAAGGGATATCTATAAAGGTAGCAAGGTAGTTATAAAGTGGGAAAAACAGGTATCCAAGCCTGCAGAGGTCAAACGGGGGCTTAGGCAGGGGTGTCCCCTGTCACCCCTATTATTCATGGTGTACGTACAAGGATTAGAGGCCAAATTAGAGGGAAGTGGACTGGGCTTCAAACTTTCTTTCGTCAAACAAGGAAAACTCATTGAACAGACACTACCAGCATTGATGTACGCAGATGATATAGTGCTAATGGCTGACAACAAGGAAGATTTGCAGAGATTGGTGCACATCTGCGGTAATGAGGGAGATAGGTTAGATTTCAGATTCAGTAAGGAAAAATCAGCAGTCATGATTTTTAATGACAATGAAGGTATAGTGAGCTTAGAATACAGGAGGTCACGCTAGAGATAACAGATAAACACAAATATCTGGGTGTATGGATAAGCAGTGGGGCTGAGTACCTAAGGGAACACGAAATATACGTGACGACTAAAGGTAACAGGAATGCAGCGGTAATGAAAAACAGGGCACTGTGGAATTACAGTAGGTATGATGTCAGAGGAATAAGTAAATGGATCATGGTTCCTGGTCTGACGTTCGGCAATGCGGTCTTGGGCATGAGATCAGAAGTTCAAGCGAGATTAGAAATTAGGCAACGTGGAATAGGTAGGCTTGCTTTAGGAGCTTACGGGAATACACCAAATCAGGGAGTACAAGGTGATATGGGATAGGCATCATTTGAGGGCAGGGAAGCTCGCAGCAACATAAAATTTGAGGAGCGATTGAGAGTAATAGGGGAGGAGCGTTGGGCTAGGAAGGTTTTCAGCTACTTGTACATGAGGAATGTCGATAAAAAATGGAGGAAGCGAACCAGAAAATTGACGGGTAAATGCTTAGAAAACAGCAGGGGGCCAAACCAAAAAGAACTATCAGTAGAGAAGAAGGTGAAAGAAACGGAGACTGACATGTGGAGAATTGGCATGATTAGGAAGTCCGCACTAGATATCTACCGAACTTTTAAGCAGGAAATTGCCAAGCAAAAGATCTAGGATAATACTCGGGGTAGTTCTCTACTGTTTAGGGCCAGGACAGGAGTATTGCGAACCAAGACATATGGGGCCAAATACAAAAGCGTAGACACGGTATGCAATGCATGCGGAGAGGAGGAGGAAACTGCCGAACACTTGATAATGTTCTGTAAAGGGCTTCACCCTATAGTTCAGGATGATGGCGCAGAGTTTTTCAAAGCAATGGGGTTTAGAGACAGGCAGGGCAAAATAGACTTCAAGCGGTTATAATTAACTAGAAGGAGGTTATCTGATTGATGGCTAAAGTCAAGGCACGAGTGAAAATTAAACCATTCACTGCAAAGTACCAGTCCTATACTTCACTATTTAAAGGAGGAAAAAAAAAGATAAATCTAGTTGGTGGTTCACTAAGTATTACGGCTAGGTGGCGTTAGCCGCAAACCGATCTAAATGGTACAGCCACATCAATCCATCCATCCATCCATGACGTGACTTGATGTGCTCGTTCGCCTCCGCTGCGCGCTCGAGGCACTCTAACGCAGTGCCTCCAAAATACCATTCACCGATTTTCTTGCGCGGAACATCAAATTAATTGTTCACTTTCTCCTCACGCAAGACAATCGCCTTTCAATGACATTTGCAGATTACTTGCAGATATGGTGCCAATTTTCTTAAGTGACGATGTTGGAACGCTGGGAATGATGGTATGTGTGTCTGCGAGGATTGTGTTGGCTGATGTTGTGTGAGGTTTCGGCTCAAAAGCAAATACGACTGCGTAAATAAAGCTTCTCTAAAACAAAACTTTTATAAGCGGATCTCATTCACGCGTAATATATTCTAAAATAAATGTTCACTCACCTTCACGGCACAACCAAACGGGAAAGCAAAGAAACAGACGATATAAAAGTGACGGAAAAAACGCTCGCTTTGTCGTCTGCCTCCAAGTTTAGTAGTCGTTGGTTACTTATTGCGCTTCGTAATATTGTGCATCAACGTAGAATGTTTTAGTGGTAAATAAAACACGTTTCTGTGCAATGCGAAAAATGAATACCTTATTATGTGCTCTTTTAGTTAGAAATCAATCACTTTAACGTGAAGCCAGACGCGTGTTTGAGGTATACAAATCTCAGTCAAGTTTGAAGCTCACATATCCCGTCATTTCCTTGCATCCAGCAGCTAGCTCACTAGCGCCAAATTTTCCTCTAGATATGATTGTGAGAAACTCTATGGCGATCACGATGGTGAAGAAGCTTATGCCCTGGAAGCTCTCGTATCGAGACTACGTAGCAGAACGTTCACTTGCGGAAGCACCGACCATGAGCTTCCACGCTGTGTGCCCATACGATCGGGGCCATCGTGACTGATAGCTTGAAGCCACACTGTTTTGCGCCCGAGGCTCACTAGCCAGCTTGTGAAAGCGAATGTTGTTTGCACTTCGATAAGTTGTGCGGCACTGCCTGACGAAGCACACGGATGGCATAGCGAGGACTGAGCCACCTATAACAGGCAGTAGAACACAATCTGACGCAACAAGTAAGGCAAAACTGGGACGCTGCACTGGCTGCGCTGAAAGACGCACGGCAACCAGCGGGAAAACAAGGATACGCACGTGACAGAGCCCGGATGTACTTGAAAGCGGAACCAAGCAGTTCACTTAAGTTACACAGCATACAAGTCAGCGCGCAAAAACTGTTCTTTTATTTTTTTTCTTTTGAGGTTCCTATATATCTATTACTTTAGAGCAAAACAAAGCTAACGCTCCTGTTTGTAATCTCTCTTACTCTCACGTTTCGCAGAAGTCACATGTTAGTACTTATAGCGGCCAATGATGTCGCATAGTGACTAGAGAGCCCAAAAGGTCTGGGATTTAAAACGGGCGTCATAAAATACAGACTGGATATTGGGCCGAAATATTTCGGAATGAGTATGTGTAATCCTTATTGAAGCAGAAAAAATTGCAACCGGGAAGTTTCATTTTTGTTTCA